TGCGCCTACCCCACCCCCTCCCGCGGGACCCCGGGCGCCTGGGCGGGTCCTTGCGAGGGGTGGGGTGAGTGGGCGTGGCTCCAGCTGGGGGCGGGGCCTGGGCTTAAGTCCTCTAGCTCCGAGGTTAGACTGTTTAACAAGCTGTCCGCCCTTGCTGGTTTCTTCATTTTCTCACGTTTTGTTTAATTAAAAAACTGAGGCTGGGGCTACAGATCAGTGGCTAGCCCTTGCCTATCATGCCCTAGATTTATACTCCACAGAGAAAAAACAAAATTCTAAATTCACCATTACAGCACACATTGACAGCAAAGCAATCAGAAGAAAGCAGGCACACCTGTCACCTATGCTGACCCTGAGAGCGCCACATCTGGGTCCTCAGACAAAGAACACCTGCAGATTCCACCCTTGATGCAGTTCTGGTGAGAGATTCAAGCAGTTACTTTTCTGGTCACTCTGGCAGTGTAGCCATTAAATGCCAAGTAAGGGAGGAAGGATTTATTTTGGCTCATGATTTGAAGGGCTAAAGTCCATTATTCCAGGAGAGGCATAGCTGCAGATGGCCCACGTTGGTGGGGGCATTAACCCTGACCCTTCATATTTTGGAGAAATAGGGAACAAAGACAGGAATGACAGGAACTGGCCCAGACTATAGCCCTCAAGGCTGGGTAACAGCTAGGCCACACCTCTTAAAAGTTCCACAACTTCCCAAAAGAGTGCCAACTGTCTGAGAGTGTTCAAAACAAGTCTTCAAATACACTAGCCTATGGAAGACATTTCACATTCAAACATTCAAAGCGCAAATTATTAAATGCAATAAAGAGGCATGCATAGCGTGGAGTGTGAGGAAAACCAAGAGGGTGCTTCTTCCGACCTTTCTGTGGCCCTCCTGTAGAGCCAACACCCCTGTGATGGTAGGGTATTGATTGACAACCTAACAGGAATCAGAATCACCAGGAGACAAGACTCTGGGCTCCTGTATGAGGGATTATCTAGACTAGGTTAATTAACAAGGAAAGACCCTTCTTAACCGTTTCAGCACCTTCCCTTGTTCTAAGGTCCTGAACCCAATAAAAAGGAGAAGAGGAGCTGAGCACCGACACTCATCTCTCTCTGCTTCCTGACTGTGGATGCCTCAACCTGTTGATTCCCCACCATGATGGACTGTAGCCTTGAACTGCGAGCCAAAGTGAACCCTATCTCCCTATGTGAGTCTCATAATGGCTGTGCACAGTAGCTTTCATTCTTTTTCTTTTAATTTATTTATTATATATA